AAAAAAAAAAAAAAGGAAGATTGAAATCCATCAGTGTTCTATTAGTCATCTCCTTCATTCTCCTCTCCTTCCTCCCCTTCATCATCATCTTGGTTCATGTTTACTTCTTAAAATTATTTTGGGCCGGACGCGGTGGCTCATGCCTGTAATCCCAGCATTGGGGAGGCCGAGGTGGGTGCATCACCTGAGGTCAGCAGTTCGAGACCAGCCTGGCCAAGATGGTGAAACCCCGTCTCTACTAAAAACACAAAAATAAGCCGGGCACAGTGGCTCCAGCCTGTTAATCCCAGCACTTTGGGAGGCCCAGGAGGGTGGATCACGACGTCAGGAGTTCAAGACCAGCCTGGCCAAGATGGTGAAATCCCCGCCTCTAGTAAAAGCACAAAAATTAGCGGCGTGTGGTGGCGGGTGCCTGTAATTCCAGCTACTCGGGAGGCTGAGGCAGAGAATTGCTCGAACCCGGGAGGCGGAGGTTGCCGTGAGCCGAGACCACGTCACTGCACTCCAGCCTGGGCGACAGAGCGAGACTCAAAACAAACAAAAATTAGCCGGGCATGGTGGCTTACGCCTGTAAACCCAGCTACTCGGGAGGCAGAGGTGGAAGTGGGAGAATCGGTCGAGGAGGGTGGGGGCGGGAGGGGGCCGCGGCGGAGGTTGCAGTGAGCTGAGATCGCGGCACTGCATTCCAGCCTGGGCGACAGAGCAAGACTCCAAATCAAAAACAATAAAAAAGTATTTTTGGCTTTTCATTCACTTTGACTTTCTATTTTTTTGACCACCGCCTGTCAGCAGGAACACTTTAACTTAATATAGTTAAAAAAATACACCCTCCAAAGAGGTATTCACTTCTGGGTGGGTGAAATGCCACCTATTCCAGAACAAACAATTTTAAACTGGTTTATATTAGTTTAAAAAAAAAAAAATCATCCGTGTCCTGATTGTTCGAAAGAAAAAAAAAATCAAAGGACAAACTAGGCACTATAGACTAAGCTGCCGCTGCCCGACTAAGATAAGCTAAACCGGCTCATAAAATTTAAAAAGTCTTCCTTTCATCATGCCTCCTGGAAAGTAGCCATCACAACTTTAGGGTTTAGTATAAAGTCTAAGATGCTTAGAAACATTAAGACAATTGTCCTTACTGTGCCACCGAAGATTTTAACAAAGGTTTAAGGGACTAAGTCCCAGAGTCCAAACTGGAACTTCACCGACTGTTAAAGCTTTCGGGTCTCAGCTGTTGGCCCAACGCACCTTCCCAAGACCTTGAAGACCGGCAGCCGCCCCACCACCCTGAACGGCGGAAGTGAGGAGACAGGCGGGACTCCCTCGGAGGTAAGATGGCCACCGCGCGACGCTCTGGGTTGCCAGGTCTCGACTCGGTAGCCGGAAGTCCTCCAGCGTTCGTCTTTAGGAAGCGGAAGTAAAAGGGCGGCCGGCGGCTGGGCAGTTTGTCTGTGAGGCAGGCTGTAGAGCAAGCCGCGGGGAAGGCGCGTGTCGGCTTCTCACTGGCGCAGCCTGCCGCCGCTGCCGCTCCGCTCCGCCCCGCCCTGGCGTTGTCTCTGGCTCTGTAGCGGACTAACCGCGGCCGGGGCATGGGCAGCAAGGGAGACGCGAGCGGTGCGTGTGCTGCGGCTGCGCTGCCGGTGACAGGTACCCAGGGGTGGCGTGAGGAGGCCTCATGGACGGAGAGAGGGTTTGAGGCAAGAGGCGACCCTGTGCCCCCCGTCACATTGAGCTTCCGCCTCTACCGTGACTCAGTTTCCCTTCCGGTGTCCCAACTCTTCCCCTATTCTCTAGCGCCCCGAGTTGCCCTCAGTGGTCTTGTTGGCAGGGTATCGCTTCCGCGGGGGTGGCGGCGGGCTCTGTTCAGTGATCTTGAACCTTCTTTGAAGAGCTTTGGATCCTTGTGCCCAAGTGCAGAGGGAAGTGGGGGAAGTGTCCTACCGAGAATTTAGACCAAGCTTGAGCCTCAGTGAGTTGAGAACCAGCACTTTGCAGGTCCCTGACTGCAGAACGACGTGCTTTTAAAAACAGATTTGTGTTTTTCCTGAAATGAATTCGGGTTGATGCGTATTGGTTGCTGTTTTCGTTTAATACTGTGATCTCTTGGCTGGAAATTGGATGATCCAGTTTCACTTTTAATGTGGGACCTGCCAGAATGAGATCTACGTCCGTTGCCAATAATTTATAGATGTGAACTATTTTTGTTTCTTGGCCAGAATCTGCAGCTTGTTCTGCATTTCTTGGCAGATTTGAGAAGGAGCATATTTTGTTCGTTTGAAGTCCTGGGGTCTTTTGCCTCACTGTGCTACACTGTTTTGGAAACTTTCATTGATGCACTTGCCAGCCAATTTTAGTGTAAAGTGCCCTCCTTTCAAGAATCTTACATTTGCAAGCCTTTGAAGACATTTTAAATAGCTATTTAACACCACCACAAAACTTGGAATGATTGTAGCCTCTTTGCACTTGACTTGCTTTTGATAAATTTAGCTGAAGCTTATTTTAAAAAAATTCTCATTTTTTATTTATGAGAATTTTAAATTTTTATTTTAAATTTTTTATTTAAAATTTTTATTTAAAATTCTCATATTTATTTATTTATTTATTTATTTTGTAGAGATGAGGTCTTGTTTCGTTGCCCAGTCTGCTCTTGAACTCCTGGCCACATGAAGCTTATTTTTATTAAAGGAAGTAAGCATAATACTTTGTACAGTAGCGTGGCACATTTATAATGTGTATTGAACTTCAGGGGAATATATTAAACTATGAAGAAAATTCTTTTGAAACTTCCCTGCAGCTGCCCGTGAGCATTTTCTTTTAAAGTTTCCCTGTAACAACACAAGATGATGTGATCATTTTCTTTTCTTTTTGAGATGGAGTTTGGCTCTTGTCATCCAGGCTGGAGTACAGTGGCGAGATCTCGGCTCACTGCAGCCTCCGCCTCCTGGGTTCAAGCGATTCTCTTGCCTCAGCCTCCGAAGTAGCTAGGATTACAGGCATCTGCTATCTTGCCTGGCGAATTTTGTATTTTTTGTAGAGACAGGGTTTCTCCATGTTGGTCAGGCTGGTCTTGAACTCCCAACCTCAGGTGATCTGCATGGCCTCCCAGAGTGCTGGGAACAGGCTTGAGCCACTGAGCTCGGCCAGGAAGGTGTGGGTTCTAAGCACTGCTATTTATTAGTTAGGCAAGGTACTTAGTGTCTTTGAGCTTTCACTTTTCTTTTTTCTTTTATTTTTTTGAAACGGAGTCTAGTTCTGTTGCCCAGGCTGAAGTGCAGTGGTGCAGTCTCAGCTCACTGCAACCTCTGCCTCCTGGGTTCAAGTGATTCTCCTGCCTCAGCCTCACAAGTAGCTGGTACTACAGGCACCTGCTACCACGCCCAGCTAATTTTTGTATTTTTAGTAGAAACGAGGTTTCACCACATTGGCCAGACTGGTCTTGAACTCGTTTGACCTCAGGTGATCCACCTGCCTCGGCCTCCCAAAGTGCTGGGATTACAGGCGTGAGCCACTGTACCTGGCACTATTCTTATTTTTAAAGTGGAGATGATATATTTCATTCATGCATGTAGCGTATTCATGGAATTTCTTCTAAGTGCCAGGCATCTGGCAGTTTGGTGAACAAAGTAGACATGGTTGCTGCCCTTAGAGAACTTTCGTGCCCTGGGTTGTTCTATATAAGGATTAGATAACATTGTGTATGTAAAGCACAGCCCAGAGTCCTTGCTTATTAAATGCTAAGGTTTCCTGAGGGGGCTCTGTCATACTCCCAGTTCCCTCCCCACTCTACATGCTGTCTACCTGGGGTTACTGTGCAGTGGCGTCCAATTTGTCATCAGGAATCACCACTTTCTGAGGCTTACACATCTAGGCCCCTTCAGGTCAAATTGTAATATAGCTAATAGTGTTACACTCCTAGAACCCTGTTCATATGATGCTCTGTCTCCAGTTTAGAAACTCATTGACTCAGTAAGTCCAGATTAAAAAAAAGAAGAAAAACTCAGTAACTTTTGGGGAGAATTTTTTTCTCTCAGCCACAGAGTATGTATTCCCAATGTGTCTATTTTTGAGGTTATTTAATAACAATGATGTACTCTATAATCTAGAAGATAGTTTTTTCTTACTATAAATGTTTTACTGCAACAATCAATTCCTGTATAGTACTTGCCACTTTACAAAGTGATTTTTTTATTGCCTGTTCATTTTCTTTTTTTTTTTTTCTTGCTTTTTTTTTTGTAGAGACAGGGTTTCACCATGTTATCCAGGCTGATCTCGAACTCCTGACCTCAGTGATCCGCCCACCTCGGCCTCCCAAAGTGCTGGGATTACAGGCGTGAGCTACCGCGCTGGGCCTGCCTGTTCATTTTCATATTGACCCTGTGAGGCAGATACTGTTAGTCCTACTTTAATAATCTTGGAGACTAAGGGCCAAAGAAATTAGGTAACATGTATATGGTTAAAGTGATAGTAAGTAGCAAACTGAGGAATTGATCACAGCTGCCCTGATGCTAAAATGTTCTTCTTTTTTTTTAACAAACCGTGTTTATTGTGTCCTATAGAACAGGTTTTTGAGGCTGCAGTCTATGGGCCTATGGGAAAGGGTGTCTGTGGTTAGACCTAAGAGAATGGTTTTTTTTTTTTTTCCCTTAGATGGAGTCTCACTCTGTCGCTCAGGATGGAGTGCGGTGACAGGATCTCAGCTCACTGCAATCCCTGCCTCAGTCTCCCAAGTAGCTGGGACTATAGGCATATGCCACCACGCCTGACTGATTTTTTGTATTTTTAGTAGAGACAGCGTTTCACCATGTTAGCCAGGATGGTCTTGATCTGACCTAGTGATCTGCCCGCCTCGGCCTCCCAAAGTGCTGGGATTACAGGTGTGAGCCACTGCACCCAGCCAGTCCTAACAGAATTCTTGGGTAATCTGAAGTTGTACATAAAAGTTTGGGTCTTGCGGCTGGGCATGGTGGCTCACACCTCTAATCCCAGCACTTTGGGAGGGCTGGCGAATCATAAGGTCAAGAGTTTGAGACCAGCGTGGCCAACATGGTGAAACCCCATCTCTACTAAAAATACAAAAATTATCCCAGCTTGGTGGTGGCCGCCTGTAATCCCAGCTACTTGGGAGGCTGAGGCAGGAGAATCGCTTGAACCCAGGAGGTAGAGGTTGTAGTGAGCCGAGATGGTATTACTACACTCCAGCCGGGGCGATAGTGTGATACTCTGTCTCAAAAAAAAAAAAAAAAAAAAAAAGTTTGTTCCTCTGTGAGAAATATCAGTAACTTTACTGGATTCCAAAGAAGGCCTACATCCTCTTCCCTGACCCAGCCAGGAATTACTGTTAGCAGATTTCGTTGTGTAAAATCTAGTTTGGTTGTCTCTAATTTCAGTAGGTTCCATTTTTGTGTATGTATTTGTTCGTTTTTGTAGCCTCTATAGCAGTTTTTACAAATGTTGATTTTGAAAAGCACTTCTGAGTGTTTTTATTTATTTATTATTTTTTTAAAAAGACAGGGTTTCATCATGTTGGTCAGGCTGGTCTTGAACTCCCGACCTCAGGTGATCCGCCTGCCTTGGCCTCCAAAGTGCTTGGATTACAGGCATGAGCCACCACGCCCGGTTGAGTGTTTTTATTTATAAGTGAGATGTTCATCTTATTATTAGATTTTGAGACAGGTCTTACCCTGTTGCCCAGGCTAGAATGCAGTGGTGCCATCATTGTTCTCTGCAGCATGGACCTCCTGGGCCCAAACTCTCTTCCCACTTCAGCCTCCCAAGTAGCTGGGACCACAGGTGTGTGCCACCAAGCCTGGCTAATTTATTAATTTTTTTTTTTTTGGTCTCAAAAGAAGCTGGCAGTGCCTTGAACTTAGAATGCTTCTAAAAGCCACTTTTCTATTTGGTATAATTTATTTTGCTTTTGACGATCGTTCTTTGGAGATACTGTATGTTATATGAAACAGGATGTTAATGCGAATGATGCCTTTTTTTTTTTTTTT